TAAAAATAATGAAATAAAATTAAACCAATAAATAAATAAACGAACAGATAAACGAATGATAAATAAACAGATTAATAAAAACCGTCAGATAACTCATTTGTTTTTTACAAGTTGTTGAAATTTTCAAAAACAGCAGCGTTCATCTGCTCATTAAATTTTATCCATAACCTTACAACAGAAACCGTTAAAAACAAACTGCTGTAAGCAAAAAGAATCTAATTTGTAGTGAAATCAAAGAATTTTTTTTTTGAGAAGTGGCAAAATCGTATACTGTTTTTCGTCACTCAACAGTTCCGGAACAAATTTATTCATCAGAATACGAAAAAAAAGCTGAGAGCCACTTAACACGTTTAATTTGGAGTTATAAATTTATGCTCTTTGCATACAAATGCCTATAAAATCAACCTATGACAAGTTTTATAAAAACCAATCTATCCGTTTACAGCTTTAGAAAGAAAAAAATGTACATATGTAAACCAAAGCAAACAACAAAAGAGAGGAAAAAAATGATAAATTACCGTTATTGGCAGTGGTGTCAGACACCATAACTTCTTTTTTTACTGCTAAACTTAAATCAGTTTCAGACCCGCAAATTACGTTCGCTGTACCACCGCATCTTGCATAAGACTCTGAAATTTTAGCCAAAAAAAAAAATGAAACATAATACTGGAAGATGAAATAGAAACTGATAAAGAGAAAAAATTACAGAATAGAAAAGATAAACAAAAAGTTTTGATCCTTCAACGACTAATAGTATTAGATTTTGAAACAGAAATAAGTAGTAAGCCATTACACAGGTAGAATATTTTGAGTAAAGATTCCATGAAGGAACAAAATGCGCACCGCTACTTTTTGACCCGTTTGTATCAGCTTTCGAGTAGTTTTGTTGTACAGTACCGTTTGATGCCATCGTGGTTTGTAAAACCGACTGTAATGGAGCACAAACACCCGGTACTGTATCACCGGATCGAACGTCAAATATATCAACCGGTGTTGAGGTATCAATATCATAAAATAAATTTCTGTTTGTACATGTACTCGATGATGCCAACATAGCTTCCACCGAGGTTAATGGACTCATCGAATCGGAACTGTTGAATTCCTGTGGATTCATACCGAGTGCAGCAACAATTTTTTTATGCCTTGTTGACTGCACATGACGTTCCACAGCTCGTGGTCCCATTTTTGCTAACGAAAAATCTGCTTCACATGCAGCACAATAAAAATGAAAACGACCTACAATAGAATAAACAAGCGATTATTTATTTTCTAAACATAAAAGTTAACTCTTAGTGCAAAAATTCAAAATCAAAAAAAAAAAAAAAAA